CCCCGCCGCCGCCTTCGACGCGGACGAGCTGGCCGGGCTCGTGCTGCGCCGCGTGCGCGAGGCGGAGAAGGCCGAGGAGGCCGAGGAGGCCGAGGCGGAGGAGGCCGGGCGGGCGGGGGTGGTGCCGGGCGGGTGCGAGGGAGTGATCGCGGGCTCAGGCGTAGATTGGGGTGCAGTGGTGCTGATTGGCGCCCTTGCCGCCGCGTGTATGGCCGAGCGTCTCCTGCGAAGGAGCTGATCTCTGGGCTCTGGCGTCTGGGCCAAAATCCCCAGAATTTTTGATCTTGAAATTGAATCCACTCACACAAATAAAGAAATATTGGGACGACGACATCACAGGCGATGCCGGCAGACCGTGAGAGCGATACCGCAATGATGTTTTAGGACTGTGTCTCTGTGATGCATGAAGATGAACCGAAGCCTCGGCGTGGAGAAAAAGAGGAGCGGGGCCCGCGGAAATGTTCGGGGTTGTGCCGCCTCGCGGACCATAAGCCGCTGTCGCGCGCGACACCCCCTCCGGCGCTGCGGGAAAGAGCATCGAGGCTCCCGCGCCCCGCGCCGCCGCCGTGGGGACTACATGGCCACCGCTACCTTGTTCTCCGGCGACCCTGCCGCACCAGTTCGGCTGAGCAGCAGCAACAGCGTGTCGTGGGCCCGCACCTTGGCCTCGAAGCGGCGCGAGAAGGTGCCGAGGCTCTGCCTCGCCCACACGTTGCGCGCGCCTGCCGTCTCGCCGTGCGTCCACCTATCGTCCGGCGGGCGTCCTCAGACTTGGCGCTCAGCGACGGTGCCCCCGCACGCGGTGCAACCCAATCGCATCGAGGCAGACTGCCAAGGAGGCGGTGTGGTTGCCCCAGTTGGTCAGGGCCACCGCAGAGTCGCCGTTTGACAAGCGGCGGACCCACGCCTGGGGAGGGGAGGGGAGAGGGGACGCAGGTGGGCAGAGGTCCCGCAGCGCCCGGATCTCGCGGTGGGGCGGCGGAGTCAAAGTGGATTAACTCAGGTGAATCAGGTCTCGCGGCGGGACGGCTGCACCTCTTGAGAAGAGCCGTGGCAGGAGGGCATCGCGTCGCCTGGCACCGCCTTGTAGTCTTGGTTGATGGCGATGGCCTCCTTGTTGAGCAGCAGCTCCTGCGCGGGGCGGGAGGAGGGCGTCGTGATCCGGCCTGCTACGCGTGCTCCACACCCCGCCGCGCCGCCGCACCTTCATGATTGGAGTCATGAGCCGGATGTCCGTGCCGACCATCAGCGGGGAGGAGACAACCACGTAGAGCGAGGCCTCGGTGCGGTACTCCTCCTCGCTCATCCCGGGGCAGTGCTCCGGCTTTGTCCAGTTGCAGTGTCCCTGGTCCGACTCTGGCCCAACGCACTGGTCCTTGCAGCCCTGCCCGCCCGTCATCATCATGTCGAGGTAGGCCCACCCAAACGGCCCGCTCCAGCTCGCCTTCCCGCGTACAGCCTCCACCTGCGGGCAGCGAAGGCGAGCTCGCTGGCGTGGCTGAGTGGCAGGGCAGCCGCGGTCGAGTGGCAGGTCAGCCCCAACCTGCTGCCTCACGCTCGCAAAGTTGTCGTGGTGGTCGCCCGTGGCGCGCCAGCCCTGGGCGATGCCCGGCGCGTAGCCCCAGTGATCTTGCTGCTGGTACGGGCCGCGGCAGAGCATGTACGACATCGGCCGGCCGGTCGCGTTGAGGGCGCGCGACATGTTACGGTGGCCCTCGACCGAATCGTGCGAGCCACAGTAGTCGATCTTGACATAGTCCACGCCCCACGCCGCGAAGGTGCGCGCATCCCTCTCGTAGTGGCCGAATGACCCTGGTGACCAGCCACCGTGGCACGTGCGATCGCCCACGCTCGTGTACAGGCCGAACTTGAGGCCGAGCGAGTGGACGTAGTCAATCACAGGCTTCATCCCGTCTGGGAAGAAGCGTGGGTACGGCACGAGCTCGGCCGTCGCGTTGTCTCGCGTCGGGTGCCAGCAGTCGTCCAGGACGACCCAATCGTAGCCGAGGTCCTTCATTCCGCTCAAGACCAGCGTGTCGGCCATCGCCCGAATCTGGCCGTCGAAGCAGTGGTCCTCGCCGCACTCGCCAACGGAGCACCACGTCTGCCAGCCCATGGGAGGGCGCTCGCCCATCCCGTTGTTGTACGCACTCACGGCCGTGGCGAGGGCGGCAGCGAGGGCCGCCATCGTAAGTCGATACAGTGCGTGACTGGCGGAGGGGCTGCAGCTGCACCTCTCGAGCAGCAGCCGCACGGGCTGCAAGGCCCCTCTGGCCGCTACAGAGCAACCAGCGGAAGAAAGAGAAAGCGCACGAAACAAGAACACAACTTATCTCTCACATGACAAGCGATCAAGAAAGAAACGGAGGCTGGACTAGCTTGGGTCGTCTGCTTTCTTTCTTTCTTTCTTAGCTCCGAGTAGAGGGGGGAAAATAGTAGATTTGAATGCGTCCACGTACGGCTTAGTGAGTGGTTGGGGTGGCGGCAGCCTCAGGCATCCCCAAGGGAGCCTCTGCGGTGCCACATAAGCAGCTTAGTGATTGTCGAGACTTTAAAGGATTCGTTTGAGAAATGCAAACAAGACAAACGGTACTATGGTCACCAGTAAACGAAAATTCGACTTTGAGGGATCATATCTCAAAAGGCTGGGTGAGGAGCTGGCGGCGCTGCAACAAAAGCTCGCCCGCATTGGCCGCGCCAATCTAGCTCTCGGCAGGAGCAAGGCGCCGGCAGAGACTACGAGTCAAGCTTACGGACACACCGCAAGGTCGCTCCGCCGCTCCTTCGAAACACTGGACGGGCTGACGGCATCGCTCGACGCCACGCCGAGGCGGCCAACTCGGGCGGTGGCGGCATCGCCGCCAGATTCGCCGCGTACGCGAGAGCCGAGGAGGTGCCAAGTCCAGCGGGCGCACAGGCAGTCCCTGTCGCCGCGCGCAGGCGGGGCCCCGCGCATGCCGCCCGTTTCGGAGAGGCCGGCACCTGGAGCGGGAGCTGCGGGATCGGGAGGCTCGCCCCGCCGATTCGTGCGCTCGGAGAGGCGGCGGGCCGTGACGCTGAGGGGCGTGCCCGCCTTGGCGGAAACAGCGCCTTAGTCTTGCTTTACACGACGTCCCATGAGTGTGTGAGTGTGTTTGGTATTGCTAAAAATCTCTCCCCATGAGCCATGTTCCCCCTAAAGAAAGAAAGAAAGAGACAACCCAAATGAGGCACGGGAGGAGGACAGGGTGGTCCCCACCTGCACGAGCAGGATTTTGGATGTTGCAGTGGAGCACTTGGAGCACTTGGAGTGCAGTCAGCAGCCAGATCGGTGTATTTCTTTATCCCGCCTGTGCGGGAGTGTCGCCAGTAGATGCTCTCCCAGTCCGAGTTCGAGCGGATGGCACGTCAGTTCGCCCTTCTGCATCACACGGCCCCGACCTGGGCCTGGTTCGAGCCCGGGCCGTTATCCGACTCGGGCGCCTTTGCGCCTCCGCCTGGCTTCCTCCGCTCAAGTCCGATTGTTGTGCAGCCTCCGATCGCCGCCCGCAGGCAGGGCGGAGAGGAGGAGGACCCTCCGGTGCTGGAGGAGCCAATCTGCAGCACGGCCGACTCATCTGCACTCGACGTGTCTGCGCTGGACGACCAGCCGCAACCCGACCTGCTGCGCATACACATCTGCCGCTCCGCCACGTACCAGACGCCGCAGCTGCTGCTGCTCGGCTGCCATGGCTCGGACGGGCGGCCATGGGACGTCGACGAGGCACGTGCGTACCTACAGAGGCAGGCGAACGGCTCGCAGCCTCTGCCGGACCAGATGCTGACGCCGGCAGAGCACCCAGGCCTCGGGCTGCCGTGCGTCGCACTGCACGCGTGCCACACAGCCGAGCTCCTATCGCCAATGATGCGCGACGCGGCATCGTGCTCGCGCGAAGGGGGCAGACCACCGCTGGACCTGCTTGGCGCGTGGTGGTCCCTCGTTGCGCCTCTGCTCGGCTTGCGCGCTCAGCCAGGCCCCCAACACACCGTGAATACATAAACACCGTGTCCATGCCGCATGCGGGCATCGGCAAGCATTTCTTACTAAAAGATTTGTGTTGAGAAATGCTTACCTGCACCTAAGAGGGTCTCGTGGATCGTCACAGTATCTTTAGTTGGTGCCTCATCTGCGCAGGTACCGCCTGACCGGTGGCGTGCCGCTTGGCCGTCTGCACTCGCTCAAGGCGTAGGTGAGGATCGCCTGCTGGTCGTCCTTGAGCGAGCGCAGCTGCTCTCGCAGTAGCCGCTCGAGCACGTCGTACTGCTCGACGAGGCGCTCGCACGCGACGAGGGTGGTGGGCGAGATCTGGAGCAACTCACGCGCTTGGTGGGCGGTCGGCTGCCGAGGGGCAAAGGCGAGAAAGTCAAGGATGTCTCGCCACCGGTTCCCAGGCCGTTGCATCAGCACGTCCTCGTAGAAGAGCTCGAGGGTGCGCGCCTCGGGAATAGCGTCGCGAATGGCCCTCCGGTGCCGCGTGATCATGGCGACGTAGTCCATTGTCAGGCCCGCGAGCGCCTCCGGCGATACCTGGATGCGGTCGATCTTGCCCGTGCCCGCGGCGCTCTCTTTCTGCGCCTTTGTGTGGTGCACGCCCGTGATTTGCATCCGCTGCACCGAGATTGCGCGCCGGATGACGGACGCGCGGATCAAGTGCAGCACCTGCCACCGCCGCTCGACCGCGGCGGACAGGAGCGCATCGGCGCCACCCCTGGGAGGCAAGAGCGGCAGCATCACCTTCATTCCGCGGGACGCGCGCGAACAGCATGATGGCTCTCCGCTGCAAAGCTTCCGCGGCGGTGGTATGCGGCAGGGCGGCTTGCGGCATGCCCCGTCCCGGTGCAGCTCCCAGGGCGCCGTGGAAAAGGCACTGTCGAGGTCGTGCAGCACGCGCTCGGCGCTCTGGCTGTGCGTCCAGTTTTGCCACAGCGTCATCGGCGCCACTTGTGTGGGAATCCAACCCTGCAGGACCGTCAGCGGCTCGGCGGTGACGGTAGCGACGCAGTTGTACCGAGCCAGCTGCTCCATGAACCAGGTCGAGCCGGCTCGGCCATAGGTGAGGACGAGGAAGTTGCCGCTCTCGCCGCCGCCGTCGCCCACGCTGCCCCTGCTCTTGTTGCCGCCCGCCTCGCTACCGTCGGAAATTTGCAACGCCGCGCCGCCCCGCGGCGAGGGTTGCCTGCGTCCGGACACCAACAGGCCCATGTACGGCGCCGTGACGGCGGCGGGTCCTCTGAGGTTGGCAAGGCACAAGCGGTGCAGATGCCCGCTGGAGCTTCGAACTAGCCAAGAAGTGCCCCGCAGCCTCAGTGATGCGAGCCATCGCCCAGCGTCCGTCCCAGCCAGCGATGGCGCGGGCTTGAGCGCCTGCACGCTTTCCGCGTTGCTCCTGCCCCACGGCACGCTATCCATGCGGTACGCGACAGTCCCTTCGGGGTCGGTGCGGTACTCCGTCGAGCACGGGCCGGCGGGCTGCTGTTCGTACGCCTGCTCCAGGTGGGCACGGTGGTCTTCTCGGTAGTCCGAGCTTGCGCAGTTGCCGGTGAAGGGGTCGGCCTCAGACCGACAGAGGGAGCAGCGGATCGGGAGAAGACTGTACGCCAGAGAGCTCTCCTTGGAGCGCTTGCAAAAGGCTCGCACCGCGTCAAACTCCGCCCACATGGGGAGAGCCGTGGCCGTGGGGAGATCCGCGGGCAAAGCTCTGCGGTGAGGCGCACGCAGAAAGGTGCAGTTGGCCCGCGCGGCTGACCGATTGGTGCAGCGACGGTGCAGCAGCGCATGACGGCTCCCCACCGCGAGCTGTGGCCGCGCAGCCTCGCTGCGCTGCGCAGCGGGCACACCGAAGCGATCAAGCTCTGCCGCGAGCCGCGAGGTTGGACCGGCAGTGAGCCACCTCAGGTAGGTGGCGAAGCGAGCCAGCGCCTCGGGAGATAGGATTAGGACTGCACGACCCGCGAGGGCCGCGACACTCGCGCCGTGCGACGGACTGCTCCGCACGACGTGCAGCCAGCGCTTGATGTCCTGGAAGAGCAGCACGTTGCGTTCGACGAGGACGAGCGCGGTGTCTGGACGAATATCCGGCCTCTCGCGGATCACCTCGCGCAGTATCAGCCAGCGGCGGATATTGCGCTGGACTGTGGAGTCAGACGACGTTCCGTGCCGGGCTGCTAGGCGCGCCCAGTGCTCGGTGGCCTCCTCTGCACGTGTCAGGTTGGCCCAATTCGCGCCCACGGAGAGCACGGCATGCTGAGTCCGCGGCGGCGAGATCGCTAGCACGTGTCCCTGCGAGCCCTGCAACTGTCGTACAGCGAGACTGATATCGGGGGTTGGGTTCTCCGTCACAAATGCGATCAGGCCCGGGTGGAGGTCCTGCACTTGCGGCGGGTCACCGACCGCAGCTGCCATGTACGATGGGAGGATGCGGCTGTGGCGGTGGTGCTATGTTGGGTCGCCTGCCTGCCTTGCGCAGCGGCCAGCCGCGTCGCCCGCAAGCGATATGACTCTCGTTGACACGCAACAGGAACGGCCGAGTTTTCCGTTTTTTTACCGGGTACGAGTATGTGGCTCTTGCGAACGTACCCTTCCTCAAGGGTTTTCAGTGTATGTAGCTCTTACGAACATACCCGAGGGTGGACTGCTGACAGGGTTTGCGATGAGAAGCGATCCGAACGTGGCATTTGGGTTTTAGTATGTTGTTGAATCTAGATCACTACCGCCGTAACGCAAGAGCACTGCGACGGATCGGGCTCATGCTAGCATCCACCTCGCAGGCCCGATGTTTTCCCAAATTTTCAGAGAGAGAGAGAGAATTTTCAGTGTATGTAGCTCTTACGTACATTCCCGTAGGAGACTCTGCTGACAGGGTTTGCGATGAGGAGCGAATTTTATCAAAAAAGAATTATAACGTCCTGACCCCCGTTAAAATCCCTGTGTGGTGGCGGCGTGCCGTCCCACCAATGTTTTCTTCTTTCTGTGTCCCTCGACCTGTCCTGGCCTGTGCATACAAGTGCGCACACTTAATGATTTTCGGCCGGCCGCAGGTCGGGCTGGACGCGGCTGTTTCGGCCGGCGGTCGGGGTCGGACACCAGCTTTGTCGGCGCGTCAGCGCCGAAGAAAATTTTGGGCGATTTTCTTGTACTCCCGTCACTTCCAGCTCACGCTCCCGGAACTT